CCCCCCTCCTGCCTCCGCCGCGCTTTCTGCTCCGCGGTGTGGATGTGCCCGGCCGGGCTGGAGGGCCGTCTCTGCTCCAGCTGCCGCAACCCCGAAGAGTTACTCCGCTCTCGGGACCCCGAGCGGCCGGTAGCGCCGGTAGCGGCGACGACAGCGGAGGGACGGCCGTCCCCTCTCCCCGACGACGCCGCGGACGGCGCGGCCGCGAAAATGGCCACCTTGTTGCCGCCCCCGCTGCCGCTGCCGGTCCTGTCGACGACAACTTCGTCGTACGGGTTGAGGACGGACAGCCCCATGCCAGACTCGCGGTCGAGGATGACAACGCTCCCGCACGCCGAGTCCGCGTAGCCCGGGTTCGCGACCGCCTTCGCGGCCGCGGCGATGCTTCCCCCGTAGCTCTTCCTCTCCTCGCTCGCCTCCCGTAGCCGGGCCGCTTCCGCGGCGCCGACACCCGGCGGCTCCTGCTGCTCTGTGATGCGGTCGTGGAGCCTCGTCCTGCTCGACGACCTCTGGTGCTTCTCCCGTAAGCGACCTCCGGCCGCTTCCGACGCCGCCGCTGCGGCGTTGTCCTTGGGCAGGCCGCCGCCGCCGCCCCGCCACTTGGTTTTCTGCTTCCTCATGAAGAACATGTTCTCTTCCGGCAGCCCATTCGAGGCGTTTTTGTCGCTGTTTCCGCTGCTGTCCTTAACCTCTCGGCTGCCGCGGCGGCGGTGGCCCGACCCCCCCGGGCCCTCCACCGCCACCGACTCGGCCACCGGCAGGAACGCCCGCTGCTGCTGCTGCTGCTGCTGCGGCGGCGGCGGCGGAGGGAAAACTTCGCCGCTACAGCGACCATCACCACCACTGGCAACGCCGCCGATCGCCGCTTCATCGTCCTCATCGTCATCGTCGTCGTCGTCGTCGTCGTCATCCTCCTCCTTTTGTCCGGCCAGCGCCGCCACCGCCGCCGCCGCCGCCGCCGGCTGCTGACGCCGCCGGGGCTCGTACCACGACCCCGACCTCCCCCAGGATCTCTGAGCCGCGGCGACGCCGGCTCCGCCGCCACCGCCGCCGCCGGCAACACCAGCACCGACAACGGCAACCCTGGACTTGGGAGTTCCACGAGAGCCGTTCCTGCCCGCATGCGGCAGGCTCTTTCGAACAGATCGGTCGCCACTCTTGCGGACGGTCGGGACGCTGCCGGGCCGAACCTTGGGCAGCGCTCCTCCTCCTCCTCCTCCTCCTCCTCCTCCTCCTCCTCCTCCNCCGCCGCCGTGCCTTGTTCCTCCTCCTTCCCCGTAGTCGCAGCGCCGTTGGCTTGCTTCTCCTGCTCGTCCCCGCTGAGGCCCAGCAGCGCCCGCCGCTGCCGCTCAGGGGAGATGCTAGGCGTACCCCTCCCTATTCGCAGCTTGCGGGGCCCCGTCCTCCGCTCGACGCTGCTGCTGGTCGCGGTGCGGCCCCGTGGGGCGGCATCCCCCGCCCCGCCGGCGCCACCTTCCTCGCGACCTCGGCCCCTTGTCGCCGCGGCGGTGGGCTCATCGTCAATTACGGCCGGCGCCGGCGCAGCGTTCTTCGGACCAACCGCATCACCGCCGCCTGCGGCGGCGACGGTACGCTCGGAATGCGAAGGTTTCTTCGCGGTCCCGGCCCCGGACACGAGCTCAACAATGCTTCGGGCGGCGGCGGCCGACATCCCGCCGCCGCCGCCGTCGCCACCGCCAGTTGCAGCCGCAGACGACAGGCCCGACCCACGGGATTCCTTCGACCTCCCCCGGCGGGCCGAGGATGTCGCGACGTTGCCCCCCGCCGCCGCCGCCGCCGCCGCCGCCGCCGCGGCGGCCGACTGTTGCGGGGGCTTTGTGGACTGCTTGAAGACGTCGGGAACGGTTATCTTCCCGGACGGTTTCCTCACATGCGTGTCGCTCGCAACAGCGGTAGCGGCGGACGGCTGCACGGCCGATTGAGTTGGCCTTCTTGCAGCGGGCTGGTCGTCCTCCTCGTCCTCAGAGGAGGACGCCGGCAGCGTCCCCGAGGTCGCGGACTTCGCGGCCGCACGGGCCGCCGCGGCGGCGCGTCGCGCTCTCCCTCGCTTGGACCCGTACGGCTTCGGTGAGTCGGAAGGTTTCACGCCCGAGGCGATCACCTGATGCCGCTGCTCCTCCTCCACCACCATGGCCGCCGCCGCCGCCGCCGCCGCTGCCGCTGCCGCCGCCGCCCTTCTCTTCTCCTCGGCGGAGGCGTTGGCACCGGCGATGGCGGCGGCGGCGGCGGCGGCGGCGGTGGCAGCAGAGGAAGCTTCACGGGCCGCCCCCCGCTCCTCTGCCATCCTCACGGCGCCGAGCGCGCTCTGAGTCGGGGACGGCGCCGGCCCCTGCCCGGGGGCAATGGTCGACGGCGAGATAGGCGGGTAATGGATCGTGGATGCCGCCGAAGGCGGCGGCTGCTGGTGCTGGTGCTGGTGCTGGTGCTGGTGCTGGTGCTGCTCTAGGTCATTCTCGCCACGGCGATCCCGTGAGCGCCCGCGCGAGGGCTTGGCCGAGTCGGCAGCGATTGCTGCTGTTGCTGCTGCTGCTGCTGCCGGAGGAGCTCCCGCGGCGGAGGCGGCGGTGGCGACCGACTGGACAACAGCCTCCACAAGGACGTCTACCTTTTTTTCCTGCACGACGATCTTGTACACGCTGCGCTTGCCGATCTCCTGCCGGGGGGCGGGCAAGGGTCGATTACGAGGACGGAAGGATGTGCCGCCGCGGTGTAGACGTGATGTAGCTGTGTTTCCGTCGGCATCAACACGCCTCATCTCGCCAGAAACAAACAATAAACAAAACATAACAACGGCCACCTCGCCGGTGCATGTGCGTAGCCAAAAACAACAACAACAACAACAACAACAACAACAGTCAAAACAGCAGCAACAGCAACAGCAACAGCAACATCCACCTCCAACCTTGATGATGGTGCAACCGTCCACTATTGCCGCCCGTCTGGCCGTCTCCGTCCCGGGCGCCCCTCTCGACCGGATGCCCGATACCACTACACCCCCGTCGCCCTGATCCCCTTCAACAGCTGCCTCTTCAAGGAGCCACGCAGGCAGCCACTCGTCGGTCGGGTGTTCCAAGCGCTGCTCGGCGTTGCGGAAGTGCGCAATGGGCGTCAAGGAAATGTCAGGTGAACAATCAAAGACAAACCCGCGCTCTTGTAGGGCCTCCACTCCAACAGGACCGCAATGGTCAACTTACCGCAATTGTGCGTGTAATCGCAATTCACCACAGCCAGGAGAGTGCGAACACCAACTGATACCTCTCCGGAAAGCCCTCCACGAGATGGTTCCAAAACCACCCTTTTCGGAGGGTGTGGAGACATGCGCTACAGCAAAACGCTAAATAACACGGGGGTGCGATAGCACGCACAACTACAGAATGACGATGCGCACGAAGACGCCCCTTCATCTCCCAAGCAAGGAAGGGGTCTCAATGCCAAGGGCCCGCCACACACAACGGCTGCCGTTGTACGCCATGACGGCCCGCCATGATCGCGCTATCGTGGTTGGTAGGCCGTTAGCGTAGCAGCCGGAGTGGGAGCCCTAATGCCAAGGCGGTTCCTACTGCAATTGTCGCTTTTGTATTGTCATAACTTCAGATATCGGCGGTTACAGCGTTCGTTCGTTCCGCGATCTCCAACCCGTGGTCACATGGGGACCATGCAAGTTGAGCTCCAAGCGCTTCACGATTGGAGAGGTTGGTTGCTGGCCATACATAGCTCCCTCGTATCGATGTACTAAGTGTCTGTGTCTATTCACGCACAAAACGATCGTATGTCTTCCGCCAAAAGCTATAACTTTAACTGTTGTCGCGTTACAACCACACGCACAGCACCGCACGAGGGGGGGGGTGAGGGACAGGAACCCTTCTGTGTGAGTTAGAGAATTGGACCACCTCCTACCTGCCAGTACTTGTGTTAGCTGTAAGCGCTGATTTTTATTGAAGTAATGAGCACAGAATTTAAGAAAATCTCCATTCTTACCCCACACACCTCCGATACCCCGACCTACAATTTAGGAAAATAGTCTACATACAACGAATCACAGAGAGAGAAATCTCCATTTTTACCCCACGCACCTCCGATACCCCGATCTGCTAGGAAATATATACAATGAACCACAGAGACTACCCGTTGGAGATAAAAAGGGCGCGTGCAACTACTTACAGTCAAAGTTTCGAGAGCTATGCATGCGTGCGCACATTATCCCTACAAATCACACATGCCAAACAAACTGTTCCAGTCACCTTCATCGGGAGAACGGTTGGGGCTATCCTATCATCGTCCATCAGAGAGGGACACACCTGGACACAACAGCGAGAAATCTTCAGGTCCCACGATCGCTAATTCCGTCGAGAAATTATGCGTCTGGAGCTATCCTGCCATCGTCGATCAGAGACACACACCTTACAGGCTACCACCGTGTATGACACAAGATAACACATCCCCTGGACCATTTTTTTTAAATCTCGATTACTCAACAACAGAAAGAGTCACGGCGCCGAAAACGGCGGCGTTGAAACCGTCTCGTCGAGAGCTTTCCAAAAATGTATCGTTTCGTTTATATATCCTCCTCGTCGTGGAGTAACCGAGCTTTGAAAATTGGTCCAGAGGGTGTGTTATCTTGTGTCATATACGGTATTCCAAGTCTCACCTTCATTGCATCGAGAGACTTTTCGTCCGCCTCGGCTCTCCCTTCTTCGAACACCAGACGGAGCGCCGTTTGCTCTGCAAGGGAGCTCACGTGCCGAGGGCTTCTCGACGACTTGGCCACCTGATTTTGAGAGACAACACAAACATGAGGATTGACTGAGAGATTCGACGGTTTGCCCCGAGGGACATCGTCAAAAAGCGCCCAACCTGTTGCATGTAGGATAGAGACGACTTAAAGGTCTGGATGGAGATGACATGTTGGATGTTGGTGCGGGTAGAGATGACATATTGCTGTGGATACTGATGGCACATTGCTCTGGATAGACAGGGCAAATTGCGTTTGACAAACCCTGAAACATTGGTTTCCGCGAAGTTTCCCCACAGTCTTTAGCGACCGACAGACGAACTTCGAGTGTAACTTCTAC